TCAGTATGAATTTTGAGACTCTGCTTGCCCAGGGCGAACTTCAGCCTTTAGGATGAAGATTCCCGTCTTTTCCTTAACTTCACGGCTGTAAACAACGCCATCTTTGCGAGACACAAAGTATTTATGGGCTTCCAGACTTTTGTAAGCTTTCATTTTTGCTTCTGTAAAAGGTCCTGGCTTTTCAACGAGGTAAGTCCACAGATCACCAAATTCTATTTCAGGCCACGCGGTGGGCTTATCACTCCACGACGGCGCATTCCATGACTCGTAGGGATTTTGTATTTCTAATAATTCCCCATCCACTACATATTTCAACTTTTCTTGAAAGCGCTTTCTGTCTTGTGGCTGTAAAGTTGCTAAATACCTCGAATCCACCCCACCAACTCGGCTTCTAGAGTTCTCAAGACTACTCGCGCCCTCACAGTCCTTCTCGTCCGCCATTGTTTTTTGCCACACAAACTTTCGCGCATGCTCATTTCAATCAAAACAAAGATTCGCCTATTCGGCGAGAGCAAAATTGATCCTGATTTCTGACCAGGCCAGAGACTTAGTAAAAATTTGTTTTGAAGGCCGGCGTCTATACGGCTCGTCTACATCCGGGATCTTGAATAAATCGTCTGTGTCAGCAAAGTTTACATGTGATGATTTATGTGGAGAAAGCGAGAGTTATTGAGAGAGAGTGTAATGTGATGATATCTTGCCCGTATTAAGTGTCGAAACATTGTGTCTGGTTGGTTGTGGATAGTTTTATCAGTGCCGCGAACGTGGTTAATTGTGTAATTTCCTGAAGTTGTTGACAGGCAGATTTCAGGTATGTCGTGGCGCTCGTGTTATAAGAATATTGTGTACAAGCATGAAAACGCTTTGTAACTGTTTAGTTGAAGTGATTTTGTCTTAGAGAACCGGTTTTGGGGTCAAGAAAGGTGGATTCTAGGTCTGTTTTAGTCGGGCATCTCGCTATGAGCCTCATAGTTTAAGAGACTGAAAGGTCATTATTTCTGTGCTTTTAAATGTTGTTCATTTCGTTACAAATCTGTCGCTTTTGCCAAGAGCAACTTTTTGTGTGTTTCCAGCGATTAATTCGTCCGTTTTAAGCCCCAACTAGCGACTTTCAACTGCTTTTTATTGACCTCAAGGGTCAAATTGTTAAAACGCGCTTGAAATTTCTGGAGGTACCTTTTACCAAATCCAGACAGATATTGAACATGTATCACACAAATCTAAATTATTATGACTTTTGAACTCGTGAAATGCTACCTGAGACCTCGAAGCAGCTGGCTATCTTTACTTCAGATCTTACATATCGACCCTCTGGCTTATACCAGCTTGTTTTCTATGTTTGCAGGTCTAGCAATTTTCTTTATATTGACTTGAAAGACACGTGAATTTGACTTAAATTTTCCATCTCAAGAATTTTACTTTTTATTAAACCAACATGTTTTGGTAATGAAAATGCTATACACGGTCTGTTAGGGGTTTAGAGTCGATTCTCTGTGACAGGGCAGAATTTATTATATAAATGTGTAATAGAGAATTATCAGTAAAATAAGATAAAATATATGTTTCTTAAGAAAAAAATATTAACGCCGGGTTGGCAAAACTTACGCCTCTTTCCTGAGTGGTCTCCAGCTTTACCGCCTGCTCAATAAACGCACGCTGACGTGTGGAGCAACTGCTAATTTTCCATAGAAATTGGGAATTTTTTAAGAACTTATTTTAGCCCATAACTAAACGTTTCTGCCTACCTGATAACATAACCAAAACGTAAAAGCCATTCCATCTAAAGACAACAAAAGAAAAAAGAAAAAGAAAAACATACATTACTAGGTTTCAAGGGAGAGTTTTGTTTTCAGAGCTTCCCTTCCATTTTCCTGATGTTTCATATCTAATACCAAGTATAACAAAAACTTTCTTAAGTCATGCATGAGGTACAGAAAACGAAATACAGAGTTGCTTTCAAATTGCTTTTTAATGTTGACTGAAAACTGTGCACAGCGCCGTTAACAGACACAACTTTTTAATTTTTTCTGGTATTTTTTTTCCGAGTCAGCACTGAATTTTCTATAAATTTTCCATTGTTAATGTTTCTATTTTTTTTGTTATTTGTAGAGTGAGAGCGCAACTCTGCATCGACCAATATTTACGTACACTGTCATTTCTCACCTTAATTCACTTCATTCGCCTAAGAAAGTGTTCAAGCGACAGTGTACACGTGCATGGGCCAACAGCTCTTACAGTAAACGTTTTGAAGCGAAGTTTCAGTGTTGCGAGGGGCCAGAATAAAAGTGAAACATGTACTATCGTATTGTGGTAGCCGATTTCGCTAAGCACCTGCCTGGCGGCAAGTTTGTTTTTTCATTATGGAGCGTACGCAAAGGCGTTTTTCAGCGACGGGCTGCTGCCGCAAGTCGACTGTTTGCATTTTCGGTCAGTGGTTTTGCCCAATTTCTTGTACAAATCACCTTTTAATTCGAAAAGGCACCTAATGAGGGCGTCAGTTTAAACGCAATTAAGAGCGTCATTGAGAAAAGGCGAGATCAAATAACCATCATCTTTTTTATAATTATCATTATCATTTTTAATGGCTTAACCAATGAGCAGATAAAAAAAAAATAAACTTCAGTATTTACATATATAAATACTGTCAAAAAAATTATAAAGTAAGAAAAAAGCTACAATAATAAAGGGGAGGATTGCAACATCCAGGGTTGCCAGCGGGGACAAACGCAAGTTTAAAGTAAACAGGTACTTTATTTTATAATCATTTAGCAATTTGCCAAGGGAAAGTAATTTACAATAATTATACTCTAGGTCTCCTGCTTGGAAAATTACCTAGCGCCAGGTCTAATAACAGCCCACTGCACAAAAGAAACACCTTTAACATCGAATGATCTAAAAATTTGAATATAAGGCAGACAGACTAAACATAAACAAAGAGGTGCTTTGAAGACAATTTAAACAAATCAACTTGAAATTAAGGCTACGGTAGCTGTCGTGCTGAACTAATACATACTGATAGCTTGATCTACGGAGCAGATGTTAGTTTTTAATAACTTACCAACCTTACCGGAAGCCATCAGTAAAATGTCTTCGGGAAAAAAGCCACTCCTACCCTGGGTGCCAGAGACTTTTCTAGCGCGGTTTCCCGTTTCTGTCAAGTCTTTATAGTGACCCGCGCGAAAAGCCCCTGGAGCAGAGCGCTATTGCTTTGATGGCGCCGATCCAATCGTTAGCACGGTTAAATCAGTTGGTCCAGATTAAGGACACGACGGCTGATTGGCTGCTAACTACCGCCTGAGGGACTTTGAATCCAACAGACGCTACAATTGGTTGGCAAGAACAGGCCAGCACGTGAAAGAATATTTCCAACTTTGCGGTTGACTCGCGAGAAGTGTTGTGATGGCGGCTTTGGAGAGTTCTGAAAGAGCACGATAAGCAATGTACTAGAAGGGTTTGACGGTGTATACAAGTTAAAAGCTATGAGCAAACAAGTAGAGTATTTAGAAAAATGTCATCTTAGGCTGTTTATTCAGACTGAAATCTTTAATGATGAAATTAAACAAGTCCTTGCTAAAATTGGCTTTGAGAATAAATTATGTTTCCTTTTTGGTGACTTTAACATCAATGTTCTTAATGCTGACTCACATGTCCCTACTACTGATTTCATTGATCTCATGTATTCCAATGGTTTCTATCCTCTTATCTCTAAACCAACAAGGATCACGTCTCATTCAGCTACTTTGATCGATAACATCGTCTCCAGTGACCTTGACAAGCACAAATTTAGTGGTATCCTTTGGTCTGACATTTCTGATCACTTACCTATATTTCAGATCACTAATTGTTCCCTTAAACCTAAAACTAAATCTTCAGTTTATCATAAACGTCTTATAACTACTCATAACATTGAAAATTTTCGTTCCCATCTTTGTTCTATTAATTGGGATTTCTCACAATCTTCCTCTTCAAATGCATTGTACAATTCTTTTATGGACTATCTTTATCCAATCTATGAAACATGCTTTCCTGTTAAGATTATCACTGTCAAAGAAAATTCAAAAGCCAAACCTTGGTTTACCTCAGGCTCCAAAACTCCTGTCGTAGGAAGTATGCTCTCTATAAACAGTATTGTAATAATCCTACACCAGCTATAAAGCTATATATACCAAATTCCGTAGCAAATACAACTATCTAATCAAACTATGTAGGAAAAAGTAGTACCATGGTAAATTGTCTTCTATATGTTCATCACTAAAACAAACCTGGTCCTTAATTAAATCCGTTATCTCTTCTAAACATGCCAGTTATGGGCCTACTGCCATGAAGGACATCAGAGGTAACACTATTAACAACCCTCAATTAATTGCTAATAAGTTTAATGAATTCTTTACTAACATTGGTCCTTCTCTCGCCACTAAAACTCCCCACTCCACTGTTGACCACAAATTATATTTGAGTGGTTCTTTTAGTGATAGTTTCTTTGCCTCACCTACTACCCCTGATGAAATTATCAATATAGTGTTCTCTCTAAAGAGTAGTAACAGTGAGGGAGTGGACGGTTTTAACGTTAATGCGATTAAAGCATCTATTGATCTCTTGGCATCTCCCCTCTCTCAAATGTGCAATATCTCCTTCTCAACTGGCATTGTGCCTGATAAGCTTAAAATCAGCAAAGTACTTCCCATATTCAAAAGTGAAGATAGCACTAACTTCACTAATTATAGGCCTATCTCAATCTTACCTTGCTTCTCAAAAATCCTTGAGAGTGCCATGCACCGTCGTCTAATGGACTATCTCACTAAAGATAGCATACTCAATAATCATCAGTATGGGTTTAGAAAGAAACATTCTACTTTTATGGCCATACTGGAACTTACTAATAAAATATTTGATTCATTTGAGAAGAACGAATTCACAATTGGCATATTCATGGATCTAAAGAAGGCATTTGATACCGTTAATCACTCTATCCTCTTAGATAAATTAAACTTTTGTGGTATTCGAGGCACACCTTTTAACTGGATGCATAGCTATCTCCTCTCTCGCTCTCAATATGTTCAAGTTGATTCCTGGAAATCTCCACTGCTTCCAATTAAATGTGGTGTTCATCAGGGTTCTGGGTTAGGGCCACTTTTATTTCTTATATACATAAATGACATTTTTTCATGCTGTAATTATCTCTCATTCATCCTTTTTGCAGACGAAACTAATATTTTCTTTCAACACAAAAATATCTCTGAACTAACTAAAATTGTGAACCATGAACTTTCTTATGTGGCTACCTGGTTCAAAGCTAACAAGCTAACTTTGCATCCCGACGTGACTAAATTTATTTTATTTCACCCTGTAAGAAAGAAAACAAATCTTGATGGTCTTTTTATTAGCATTGATAAGAATAGTATTAATAGAGTAGAACACACAAAATTCTTAGGTGTTATCAT